ACAGGCCTGGGGCTAAAGAGCTTTTGCCCCCCTCCTCGAATGGTATGGTTGTTGTGTGCTTTTAAATTGTTCGTCTTTTTATCCCTTATCTGTATCTCCTTCCCTGACTTGGATTGTGAGCTGCCCTGAGTCCACTTCGGGGAAAAGGGCGGCATATAAGTTCAATAAATTCAATTCAATTCAATAAATATTAATACCTCAATGATAAACAAAAAAAATCGTATAGTTGTATATTTTATTCATGTATTTATTAAATTTATATGCTGCCCATCTTCCCTCTTGGAAATGGGAGTTGTGGTTGTGCTAGAATCAGCTAGACTATTTAATTTATATTGTGAATGCACCCCCTATTACTATGTGTTCAAAATTCAAATGCTCAAACAATTTATGCTGCATACAAAGGAACAACTACTGCATCAAAACAGGACAGGTATGCCAGAGCCCTCACTTCATCTGGCCACAAAGAAGTCAACATGGGCATGAAAAATCTTGGCCTCAAGGAGAAAATCTAAGCAAGAAGATGACACCTATAGCTGGCTCCCAAAAGTAAACACGAAGGCAGCGCCCATTATTTCATCATGACTCAAACTTACCACATGGTTTAATGGCACAGTAATCAAATTGGGTGTTAGGATCCATAGTGTAGCACCAAGGCCCATGACTGTCATTGTCAGGGTTACGGCAATAGTTCTGTTCAAGACGCACATTAGGTAGTAAGGGAAAGAAATGCCTAAGAAAATTCAAGAAGACTGTTCAGTATTGTGCCATTTTTTTCTGTTTCGTATTTGGGAGATTACTGGTTTTTTTTCCCCTCATAAAAGTTACACACAGTTGTCAATGTATTCTTATGGATAATTCAGACACTTGAAAGCATTTCCATCAGCAGATATTAATTTTTCCCTAAAACTCATCTTTGACTCCTGAAAAAAATGCCATTTTCCTTCACAAAGGGATATACTCACTCTCACCTATTTGCATACTTCTGACAAACACATTTCCCCTCAAAAAAGGTACTACATCTACCTGCTGTAGCTCTTCTCTATTTATATATAAATTGCACTTGTTCATTGTATAGTCTCCATCAAACTCAGCTACCTTGGTCTTTGATAACTGATTTGGAGGGGGTACTTTAGAGCTTTGAATAAGAATTATAATGCTGTGAGAATGTTGAAAAATGATAAGGCTGCTGGTGGAGACAGAGTGATAGAGACATCTTAAAATGCAGATCTATTTTGCTTGCAGAGTAGGTGCACAATTTGTTGAATGTGCGAAGGTTGTGTCTCTCTGACATTTGGAAAAAGGCTGTTACTGTTCCCCTGATCAAAGGCAAAGATAACAAAAATAAATGCAAAAATTACAGGGAACTTTGAATGTAAGAGAACTTGAGAAGGAGTTTGCTGATACAAGGACATAAAATGGTAACAATGAGCAATATCTGGTCTTTAAATGATCCAATCACCTTTTCTGTTCTCACTTGTCTCTTTCTTAATCATTCAGTCACATCATTCAACAGATGTTCTTTCTTGGATGGATAGCCATCATCTTTGTGGGGGAAAGCTGCAATCAGAGTTGGTATTCAGCAGGTTCTGACCAGTTCTGGAGAACCAGTAGCGGAAATTTTGAGTAGTTCAG